GGCCCGCGCGCGTCCGCGCCCCATGTCGGCGCGCCCCCCACACGCTGCGCGGCCCTATAGGGAGCTCCGCCGCGGGTCCCAGCGGCGCGGCCCGCGTGCGTCCGCGCCGCCCATTTCGGCGCACCCCATGCTGCGCGGCCCCACGCGGAGCTCCACTGAAGGCGTCGGAGGCGCAGCCCGCGTGCGTCCGCGCCGCCCAGCGCGCCCCCCTCGTGTTTCGCGGCCGCGTGGGGGCTCCACGAAAGGCTTCGCCAGCGCAGCCCGCGCGCGTCCGCGCCCTATTTCGGCGCGCCCCCCACGCGCTGCGCTGCCCAATGGGGGGCTCCATCGAGGGCCCCGGCGGCGCAGCCCGCGCGCGTGCGCGCCGCGCATTTCAGCGCGCCCCCCGCGCGTTTCGCGGCCCCGCGAGGGGCGCCGCCAAAGTCGATGCTCGCAGCTGCAGCGCCCGCAACTGCATATGTCTTGGCCCTTGTCCAGGCAAATTGTAAGCTTTCGCGTCGTGGAAGGATGTTGCTCTCGGGACCTTGCTTGGCCCTTTGGGTTCTTTGCGTTCAGGCCGCGGGCTGCTGGCCCGCGCCGCTCTCGCTGGCCTTGCTGGCCTCGCATGGCAAGCCGCCTGGAAGGTCCTGGCCCGTCGGCGCATTTCCGGGTGGGCATCGCGCAGGAGCTTCGCGAAGCAGTGACTTCGCCTCTGAGTTGCGAGCTGGGCGCGCCCGGCCTCCGCGTTGGCTGTGACACTCGCGCCGCGGGTCTCTCGGCGGCGAGGGCAGCTCGGGGCGGCGTGGCATCGCGGCGCTGGGGGCGGTCAGACGCAGCGCCGTCTGCGGTGAGGGGGCAGCAGGATTGGCGCGTCCGAGTGCCGCGGCAAGTGTCCATGTCTGGGAGAGGCCGCCACTTGGGCGCGCTCGGCCCGACGGCGTCGCGAGGGCAGGCGAGGGGGGGGGCCGTGCCGCGGTTGGCGGGCTCGCGCGTGCAGGGGTCGGCAAACGTCGGCGAGGGGCGCAGACTCGCGCGCGGCGCGTTCCCCGCCGAGGGCGCTGGGCGCCCCCGCTCGGGCGCGAAGGCGGAGGGGCAGCGCCGCTGACCAGGCGACTGAGAATCCGGCGCGCGCGGGGGGTCGAGAAGCAAGGCGCGTGGCCCGACTGGGGCCTCGCGGCGCTGGAGCCCCTCGGCATGTTTCTCGGCGAAGCCGTTCCCGAGGCTGGGGGGTTCCGCCTGGGGATGGAACTCGAGACGGCAGGGCCGATGGACAACCGGGGGGGCGCCTCTGCAGCATCCAGGGCCAAGCCGAACGACCGGCCGTCGGCGGCCCCCCTCGCGGAGCTCTCGGTGGAAAGTGGCCCGCTCAAGGTGGCGCTGACTCTTGGGCGACAACCGCGCGATGGGGGGGCGGGGGGCTGGCGACCCCTGGGTTACGACGACAAGCTGCGACGAGTCTCTCGGGGCGCGCAGACCTGAGGGGGCGCGCGCGCGACGAGGCTGCGATGGCCGCCGAAGGAGGAGCACCGCGAGTCGAGCGTCAGGGAGAGGGCGGCCGCTCCGCGGCGACAGCCCCGCCCAGTCAGTGCGCCGCGGACGAGGTCGCGCGGGGGGTCTAGAGCGGCCGCGGCACCCCCCCGGCAGGAGAGGGTTCCGGCGAGGTGGTTGCAGCCCGCGATGGGGCCCGCGGGAGGCGGCGCCCGCCGCGGCGCCGGCGCGCGGCCTCTCGGAGCACGTCCCCGCCGCGCAGGGGGTCTCCGAGTGGCGGCAGGCTGCGGGGCAATCTCGAACCCCAGCCTCCCGGTGGGCTCCGCCGCGGCAGGGGGGCGCCCCTCTTTCCTGTTTCGAGGGCCCTCGCCCTGCTGCCGAGGGCGGGGCCCAGGAGGCCCAGGGGGGGGTGCCTCGACCGCGAGGGCCCGATGGATGCTGGGTAAGGCTTCGAGACCGATCCTTTCGGCTCTGGCGCTCGTGCGAGCGGCTCGCAGCGGCGACGGCGTCGTGGGAGAGTATGGAAGAAGGACCGAGGTGAGAAAGCGGTCGGGCCCCGGGCGTCCTCAGTGTCCGGGGCGGGGGCCGTGGCATCCCTTTCCCACCTCCAGTCTCCTATTTCCCCCCTCGGTTCATCTTGCGACTCGCCCCCGTCGCAGAGAGGGCGCGTCGCATCCCTGGAAGTGCCATGTGCCCTGCGCACAGTTCCCCCGGCATTGCGCTGGGCCCCTGGCATCGCCAACCATAGAGGGAGCTCTACCGGGTGGGTTCGTCGAGGATGCGCCCCCGTGTGCCGGCGCGAATGCGCACCCTCTTGCTTGCCCGATGTTTGCGGCCATTTGGGCTCTGGCGCTCGGCTGTTTCAGAATAGCCCACCCGCGACCACCCTGCGGCGTGCATGCATTTGGAGTGGCAGGAGCCTCGCACAAAGGCCACCCGGCACCGCGACCCAGAGAGGAAAGAGCATCGCCGTCCATTCGTTCGTCCGTCTGTACCATGTTCGCATTTTTTAACGGGTCATCGAGGGTGCAAACCCGCGGTCGCGCCATGTCGGTCCCTCGCCAAGTGGTCAGCGGCTGCAGGACAAGCAGTTACACGTTACACTTAGGGCTTTCGCAGGGGCATAGTTGTTGCGTCTGCTTTTCGTCCTCAGGCGCTGTTTTCCGTCGTCAATTGGGTTGCCCGGGGCGCCAGGGTCGGATGCAGATCGAGCAGGGGCCTCAGTGTGCTCGTTCGCCAGCATTCTGCTTCGATAGGTTACTCGCGCCGCTGCTTGCCCCCCTCCGCCTCCTCCCCCGCCCCCCATGAAGAGCTCTGGCAGCATGGATTCCCAGATAGCGTCGGAGGATCGGGGGCGTGGATCAATGCAGTAATGTAGTTCTACACAAGCAGCATTTTTCTTCGACGGCGGCGGGCACTGGCACGCCTCGGCGACCAGATTCCTCGAGGAAGTTGCTTCACGGTCGGTCGTCCGTTCGATTCAAGGTTGTTGTCCACTGCGTTTTTCGCTGGGATGGGCAGTCGTTGCGTTGCATGGCGACGTAGGCCCCCGCCCAGTCACGCGAGGCGCGCGGTGGTCGCTGGAGGGCTGCCCGTGGGTCTGTATGACAGTAGTTGCGTGTTTGCTTGGGGGCTTTTGTGTCGGGCGTTTGGCAGGCCCTGTTCCGACGTTTCCCTTTGGACCGTTTCCCATTGTCGTTTTCGATTGGGTCCGAAGGCCAGCGATTTGTTATTCTACCACACCGGACTGGGCAAACATACGGGAATTCGCGCGGCGCGCCATCCAAGAAAGACGCGGGGGGTCGAACAGCTGCCTTTTCAAAGCGTCAAGGCGCTCACCACCTCGTCAGGATGTGATCGGCGGCCCCGTCACTGCGCGAATTCAGAGAGAGAGAGAGAGAGAGAGAGAGAAAGAGAGACCCAGCTCGCTGACTGCAGTGCCAAGCGTGCGCCCGGGTATAGGAGGGTCTCAGTTCAGTGTCGCGGCAGATTCAATATCGCAGGCCTAGAAGTTGACACCAGCACCAATATCGGCGGTGTGCCTCCACCGAGGGAAGAGGATCCCGATCTCGGCGATGGTGGTCACAGTTTGGCCTCAGGGTGGTCGAGATGTTACCACCAGCGCCGAAATCTAGGATCATCTTCCCCCTGTGGAGGCAACCCCCCTGAATTGGTGTTGGTGCCCATTTCCAGGCCTCCCACAGGAGTTCTCTCAAGGCAGTCGGCGCGCTTCCTCGCCGGTGGCCGGCCCTCAACTGCGAAGCGTGTGCCGCCCTCGAAGCGTCTCAAAAAAAACCTCAGTCTGACGCTCCAGCTCCTCCCCTCCTCCTCCTCCTCCTCCTCCTCCTCCTCCTCCTCCTCCTCCTCCCCTCCCCCTCCTCCCCCTCCCCCTCCCCCTCCTCCTCCTCCTCCTCCTCCTCCTCCTCCTCCTCCTCCTCCTCCTCCTCCTCCTCTGCAAGTCAATTCTTCCTCCGTCCGTGGACGCTACTCCAGATTTCGTGATAAAAGGGAGGGGGTCTGGACCCTCCAAGACAAGCCATTTCAGACCCCCCCGTGGGAGAACCCTCCCAAACATCGTCCCCAGACCCCCCCCAGGCCCTCCAAGATAGCTTGGAAAAGACCCCCTCCAAAATGAGACCCCCCTCCCTTTATTACGAAATCTCGAGTACCGCCAGAGGTCGCGCAGACGTCGCGCTCGCGATTTAGAGGGCGGAGGATCAAGCCACCCACGCAGTTGTTTCAAGTTTCACTCTTGCGTGAGGGAGGAGGCGAGTGGTGGTGTGTACCCACTGCGGCGCTGGCGGGGTCACCACCTCTGATCTTTTCAGAGACCCCTTCCCTCCAGCGCCTTGAGTATGGGGCAAGAGAGTTTTGTGAGGCCTTGATCAAGTCAAGTACACGCAGGGCAAATAATCATTCTTTCTCACCGAACCCTGGCACCCTGCTGCCTTGGAAAGAGATGGCCAGGGCTTGGATCCAGGCAAGCCCTCTGGGAGGGCACCGGGTCGCGGGCCTATCGACTGAGTGTCGACCCAAGTCCGTTTTGACAACAAGCAGTCCTGAGTGGTGCCCGTGGGGATCTCACGAGCTCCCAGCGCGTGCGCAGGGAATGATGATGAGGAGGAGGAGGAGGAGGAGGATCACGAGGAGGGAAGAGGAGGAGGACGAGCACGAGGAGGGACGAGGAAGGAGGAGGAAGAGTTAAAGGGGACGATGATGAGGAGGGGAGAAGGAAGAGGAGGGCAAGGAGGAGGAGGAGGAAAGGGAGGATCACGAAGAATAGGAGGAAGATGCGGTGGAGGACGAGGAGGAGGAGGTGGATGAGCATGAGAATGGAGGAGAGAACAGGAGGAGAAGGAGGAGGAAGAGGAGGAGGTGGAGGAGGAGGATAATGAGCAGGAGGAGGAGGAGGAGGAGGAGGCCGAGGAAAAGGGGAATGGAACAGGAGGGAAAGGTGGAGGGAGGGAGGCCGGGAGGGTGGAAAACGCGGCCCGCGGCGCCGCCCCGAGCGGCGCGCCCCGCGCCCCAACCAGGTGGAGCCCGGCGCCGTGCGCGCGGCCGCCCACGAGGACGGCCCCGCCGCTCGACGTGGGCGTCGTCGTCGTCGCTGGGCCTCGTCGCGCGGCGTGGTCGGCGTCGTCACGCGTCGTTGCTTGTCGTCGTTGCTCGTCGTCGTTGTCGTCGCCGTCGCCGTCGTGGTCGTGGTCGTCGTGGTCGTGGTCGTCGTGGTCGTCGTCGTGGTCGTCGTCGTCGTCGTGGTCGTCGTCGTGGTCGTCGTCGTGGTCGTCGTCGTGGTCGTGGTCGTCGCCGTGGTCGTCGTCGTCGTGGTGTTCGTCGGCGCCGTCGCTGTCGTCGCCGTTGTGGCGGTTGGATGCCGCTGGCCTTGCTTCCTTGGGGGTGCAGGGCGGTCCCTAAGGCCACTCCGCTATCATCAGAGCGCCGCAGACTGCCCGAGGGAACATGCCTCCCCAGCGCAAGTGCGGCACATGGCTCCCTTCGACAGTTACTCAGAACTCGTTTTCGCTTCTCCTAATGCTTTAGTGCAGGTCGCATCGCTTGCCGCGACATTTCAGGCAGTGAGAAGGTAATGAATCGGACAGCGCTCCCAGAGAGACGGTACAGGCAGTCGTGGTCGTCGTGGTCGTGGTCGTGGTCGAGATCGTAGTCGTCGTCGTCGTCGTCGTCGTCGTCGTCGTCGTCGTTGTCGTCGTCATCGCCGCCGTCGTCGTCGTTGTCGTCGTCGTCGTCGTGGTCGTTGGGTCGTCAGCTCTCCGACGATACAATTTTTGTTCCACCTGTGGGTGTTCCTTGATCTGGGCATATGGGTCCCCGCTTTGCGAGCCCGGGGACATCAACCATGGATGTATAGGCCAAACGCTTACCCCCCGGCGGGAAGCGGTCGGGATTCCTGGGTCCGCGCATTGAAAACATTAGATTGGCGGACGTCAGGGTCGTCGTCGGCGTCGTTCGTCGTTCGTCGTCGTCGTGGCGGCAGTCGATGTGGTCGTCGTGGTGATCCTTGTCGTGGTCGTCGATGCTGTGGTTTGAAATTCTTCACGCTTCGCGTATCCCCACCAGCCCATCTCAAAACAGCAACTCTTGCGAAGCATGCCGACAGTCGTGTTTTTCAGGCGTGTGTCCGCTTGCCTCCGCATATCTCCCCTGTTCCTCCTTCCTCCCGCCTCCTTGTACATCCTCCTTGTGGTGGGAGCGGGAGAAGGACGAGGCGGAGGAGGAGGGAGAGAAAGCGGTGGGAGGCAAGAGGGATTTAGCGGAGACGACGACCACAGCGATGATCCTAACAACGACGACGCACCCGACGACGACGACGATATCGACCGCAACGACGACGACGACCACAACCGCGACGACGACGACGACGACGACGACGTCGACGACGACGACGACGAAGGCGGCGGCGACGACGACGACGACGACGACGACGACGACGACGACGACGACGACTGGTGGGAGTCGTTGGGGCCCCTCGTGGTGTGAGTCGTTCGGCCCCATCGTCCTTGTGTGAGTCCTTCGGGCCCCTCTTCCTGGTGTGAGTCGTTCGGGCTCCTCGTGGTGTGAGTCGTTCGGGCCCCTCGTCCTGGTGTGAGCCGTTCGGGCTTCTCGTGGTTCGAGTCGTTCGGGCCTCTCGTCCTGGTGTGAGTCGTTCGGGCCCTTCTTCCTGGTGTGAGTCGTTCGTGCTCTTCGTGGTGTGAGTCGTTCGGGCTCTTCGTCCTGGTGTGAGTCGTTCGGGCTTCTCGTGTTGTGAGTTGTTCGGGCCCCTCGTCCTGGTGTGAGTCGTTCGGGCCCCTCCTCCTGGTGTGACGTCGTTCGGGCTCCTCGTGGTGTGAGTCGTTCGGGGCCCTCGTCCTGGTGTGAGTCGTTCGGGCTCCTCGTGGTGTGAGTCGTTCGGGCGCCTCGTCCTGGTGTGAGTCGTTCGGGCCCCTCCTGGTGGTGTGAGTCGTTCGGGCTCTTCGTGGTGTGAGTCGTTCGGGCCCCTCGTCCTGGTGTGAGTCGTTCGGGCTCTTCGTAGTAGTGATGGTAGTCTTAGTAGTAGTAGTGGTAGTAGTCGTGGTAGTAGCGGTAATAGGACTAGTAGTAATAGTAGAAGTAGTAGTCTTAGTACTAATAGCAGCAGTAGTGGTAGTCCCAGTAGTAATAGTAGCAGTAGTACTAGTAGCAGTGATAATGGTAGTACTAGTAGTAGTAGTAGTAGTAGTAGTAGTAGTAGTAGTAGTAGTAGTAGTAGTAGTAGTAGTAGTAGTAGTAGTAGTAGTAGTAGTAGTAGTAGTAGTAGTAGTAGTAGTAGTAGTAGTAGTAGTAGTAGTAGTAGTAGTAGTAGTAGTAGTAGTAGTAGTAGTAGTAGTAGTAGTAGTAGTAGTAGTAGTAGTAGTAGTAGTAGTAGTAGTAGTAGTAGTAGTAGTAGTAGTAGTAGTAGTAGTAGTAGTAGTAGTAGTAGTAGTAGTAGTAGTAGTAGTAGTAGTAGTAGTAGTAGTAGTAGTAGTAGTAGTAGTAGTAGTAGTAGTAGTAGTAGTAGTAGTAGTAGTAGTAGTAGTAGTAGTAGTAGTAGTAGTAGTAGTAGTAGTAGTAGTAGTAGTAGTAGTAGTAGTAGTAGTAGTAGTAGTAGTAGTAGTAGTAGTAGTAGTAGTAGTAGTAGTAGTAGTAGTAGTAGTAGTAGTAGTAGTAGTAGTAGTAGTAGTAGTAGTAGTAGTAGTAGTAGTAGTAGTAGTAGTAGTAGTAGTAGTAGTAGTAGTCTTTTGGGAGCCTCTTGGAGGCCTTTTGGGGCGTCTTCGGGGCCTCTTGGCGGCCCCAGGGGCTTCTAGGAGCGTCTTGGGTGCCTTGGGGGAGCCTCTTCGGGCCTCTTGGGAGCCTCTTGGAGGCCGTTTGGGGCGTCATGGGGGCCTCTTGGCGGCTCCAGGGGCTTCCAGGAGCGCCTTGGGTGCCTCGGGGGAGCCTCTTGGGGCCTCTTGGGGGCCTCTTGGGGGCATCTTGGGGCCCTCTTGGAGGCCTCTTGGGGCCTCTTGGGGCTCTTTGGGAGGGGTCTGGGAGGAATCTTGGGGCCATCTGTCGGGCGATCGATCACAGATGGGGCGAGCACTTTTCTGCCCCCCCCCCGTCGGGGCCAGAATCCTCGTGAGGGGTGTCGAATTTTAGCCCTCCCAGGAGTCGAAAAAAAACCCTCTGACCACCCGCGAGACGCCCTTTCCAGGTCCAGGGGGAGGGGGGAGGGGGAGGGGTAAACCCCTCCCCGAAGGGGAAGAAGGGGGGTTGAGAACAGAGAGAGCTCCCTAAACCACTCACGCCCAAAGGGCTGGTGGGATTTTCGGCCGCGTTCGCCGGTTCTCGGCGATGTTCCAGCCTCGGGTGCTTCCCAGCAGACCGTCCTCGCCGAGAGCGTTCCAGGGGTGCCCGAATCGTCCCGAACGGGCCGCTGGAGAAGCGAGTGATGTCTCGAAAACCACCGTCGTCCTCGTGGCAGTCGACGTTGCCGTCGACGTCGTCGTCGTCGTCCACGTTGCCGTCGACGTCGACGTCGTCGTCGTCGTCGGCGTCGGCGTCGGCGTCGGCGTCGGCGTCGTGGTTGTCGTCGTTGTGGTCGTCGGCGTCCTCGCTGTCGTCGGCGTTGTCGTCGCTCGCTGTACGTCGCGGCGGTCTCAGTCGCGTGTTGGGGGGAGCTGCCTTTGGCTGAGTCCTGCTCCTCAATGCTATCATCCTCCACCCTGCCTCTTCTTCCCATCCGTTCTGCATCCTCCTCCGTCTCATCCGTCCTCCTCGTTGTTATCCTCCTCGTCGTTCCTCTCCTTCTCCTCCCCTTTTCCGCTGTTCCGCCTCGTCCTCCTCTGTTCCGCCTCGTCTTCTCCTCCTTCTCCTCCGTACAGTGTCTTTATCGTCAGGATGGGGGAAACACGCCAGAAGGATGACGGAGATGATGTTGTTGTTGCTTATTTTGTTGTTGATATGTTGATGACGATGATGCTATTGATGTGGATGTGTATCAGGACGAGGGTTGAGGTCAAATGAGTAGGACGGGTCAGGAGGGAACAGGAGGGAACAGGAGGAGGAGGAGGAGGAGGAGGAGCTGGAGAAGGGATTCGATCTCGTGAGATCTAGCGATCCAACCTCCAGGGAACCGAGGGGATCGCTTTACGGCGGCGATGAGGTAGCCCCGATTACCTATACCCGGGCCATCCCTGGGCGCTAATGCAACGCGGTGAAACCAAATTGCTCAGCTGAAGCTGACGGGGTCGGTCCAGCTCCCTTGCGAACCTGCTGTGCATGCTCACTTCTCTTGCCATATCAAGCACGAGCTGCCACCACACGCCTGTAGCTGACGGTGCCTGTTCTGCCAATGCACGCTTCTTGCGCAAGCTAACCCCAGTCTTTCTCGCACTGCCCACAGCGTCTGCCACTGCCTGCTGCTTTCTCGAATGAAGTGACCCCAGTCCGCCTGCCTTCTCGCATTGACAACATCCGGTGCTGCTGTCTGCACTGACAACGCTGCCACTGCCTGCCTGCCCCGGCAGACCCTGCTGCAACTGCCTGCCTGCTCGCACGGCCAGTCCCTGCTGCCGCTGCCTGCATTCCCACACGATTTAATTACAGCAGCATTGGTGCTGATGACGTGCTCTTGATGCGCTATCGGGCACCGAAAACGCTGCTGCCACTGCCTGCCTTCTCGCACGATCTGACCTCAGCAGCAGTGTAGCTGATGATGTGTTATTCCTGCGCCACCATGGGGAACGACAAGCGTTGCTGCCACTGTCTGCATTCTCACCTGGACAGTTCCGTCTGCCACATCGGGCACCGACAACCGCTGCTGCCACTGCCTGCCTTCTAGCACGAGCTGACCGCAGAAGCTTGTGGTGTTGGGCTCTAGCGTCGCCCTCGGGCACCGACAACCATTACTGTCACCGCCTGCATTCTCGCACCCGCAGTCAGTGCTGCCACTGCCTGCTTTCTCGCACGAGCCAGTCCCAAGATTCTTGCTGATGCTGTTGTTGATCTTTGCTGGCTCCCGCTCGCCTCTGCCTGCCTGCTTGCGCGAACCTCTCCCAATTTCGTAGCTGAGCTTGGCTGACTCCTGCTAGCACTGACAGCTCCTGCTGCCACTGACTGGTTTGTCGCACGAACCGCTCCCAGCTTCGTAACCGGTCTTGGCTGACTCCTTCTCGCACTCGCAGTTTCTGCTGTCACTGCCTGCCGTCTCTCGCGAACCGCTCTCGAGCTTGTAGCTGATCTTGGCCAGCTCCTGCTCTTCCCGTCGCTGTTTTCTTGCCTGCGCTCTTGTTATGCAGCAGCGCCGCGTGCGCCACCGCTCGCCAAGAGGTGGAGAGGGGGGGGAGAGTGTGAGGAGGGGCCGGAAAAGGGGGCTCCTGGCGGTTGCCCGCACTCCTGGGCACCTCCTCCTCCTCCTCCTCCTCCTCCTCCTCCTCCTCCTCCTCCTCTGGTCTCAGTGTTGTACCTGATGGCGTTGGCAGCCGCCCGCGCTCGTCAAATTGTCGGCGGCCTTCGAGCGCGTAGGCACTTCGAAGCTGGCGCTCGACACGCCCGCTCGTGGCCCGTGCAGGGGGGGGCGCCTGGGCGCGAAATGGCTGAGGAGGAGGAAGAATAGAAAAAAGAGTAGTACTACTAATCGTAAGAATAAGTCGAGCACACTTCCAAAATATGGTAATACTACTGATGTTAGTAGTAAGAAAGCGATACTAATAATACACATAGTGCTACACATAAGAAGAATAACACGACTCATATTAATACTACGAGCAATACTAGCAGTATGAACACTCATGCTACTAAGAATAATAGACGAAGACGCAGACGAATCATACTACCATTGATACTGGTAGGACGAATACTAACACGAGCAGCAATCACAATGAACAGTACTAATGACAATTAACTTAATAAGAAGAACCGTATTACTACACATAATCAGAATAATGCTAATAACAATGGAAACAAGAAGAGCAGGAGGAGGAACATGAGGAGGAGGAGGATCATGATGATGATGATGATGATGATGAGGAGGAGGAGGAGGAGGAGGAGGAGGAGGAGGGAGGAGGAGGAGAAGGAGGACCAGGAAGAGGAGGAGGAGGAGCAGCAATATCAGCAGCCGTGGGCAGGACATCAACTTCATCACCCTGCTGCCCGTCGGCAGCTCCCGCGGTCTGCAGCTGTTCGGCAAGGAGGAGCAGCAGTGGTTCGACGTGCCATTCGAGCCCGAGTCCATCATCGTCAACATCGGCGACATGCTCCAGGCTTTGCTCCCCCCCCTCCTCCTCCTCCTCCTCCTCCTCCTCCTCCTCCTCCTCCTCCTCCTCCTCCTCCTCCTCCTCCTCCTCTCCGTAACCATTTTGGCTCAAGGTTTTGCCTTCCCCTGGGAACAAAGTGGATACCGCTAGTCCGCGGCAGTGCCAGGGCGCTTGCGCTCGACAGCTTTTCTTTCCGCCAGTGCCGCAGGGGCTCTCTGGCGGCCCAACGTACAGCAAAGACGTCGCCATGGCGCCAACGCCGTGGACATGGAGTGGGAAGCAGCAGCAGGAGTCAAAGCAAGACTGGATGTGTAAGTTTTGCACGTTTCGTCGGACTGGGGCTCCTCTCATTAACTATGGGGTTAACGAGAAGTGCTACAAGTGCAGGCTGCACAAGGGTGTGGCATTCAAGTGCGTCGCCCCCTCGGACCTCCCCAGCCGGAGCAAGCGCAAGGCCGACGGCACCTTCGATGCAACTGCTGCCTCGGTGGCCAAGTTGGAGAAGCGCCTGCAGCAGCTGGAGGCCGAGAATGCCAAGCTGCGTGGTTCGTCTGACCCTGGCGGAGGCGACGCGGCAGTGGAGAACAATGAGTCGGAAGAGCTACGGGATGAGATCGACGGCTTCGGCAAGCACGTGCAGTGGTTGGAGTCGGTTCGCTCCCCGTGGGCGGTGTTACCGCTCAAGGCTGCTCGTGAGCAGCTGGAGGGAGCTCGTCGTAAGCTGTATGAGAGCAAGCCCTTGCCAGCGAAGCTCACGGCGTTGTCGCGACGGGCTGAGCAGGCTCGCATCCGCTACCACAAGGCGGAGCAGGACAAGGCGGCAGCGGACCAGAAGCTGCTCAAGGCGCAGGAGGAGGCCAAGGCAGCTGCGCTGGTGGTCGTGGAGCGCCAGAAGGTCTGCATGCAGCTGGAGGAGGAAGTGCGCGCTCTCGCATCCTCGCAGCCAGCGGAAGAGCCAGGGCAGCATCAGTCGATGGACCTCACGGGCCCAGAGATCAAGCTGGATGAGGACAAGTTGCTTGCAGCGCTTGGCACGATGGAGGGAGTCGCCGACGCCAGCAAGTTGGCGCCGAGGCTGGCGGAGGTGCTCAAATCCTGTGCGGCCGAGGTACTGGAGGAGCCGTCCGACAAGCGTGCCCGCGTGGCAGCGGGTGGTGGTCAACCAGCTGAGCCGCCCCCAGCAGCACGGAACATCGACACGATCGAGGTGGAGCAGCTGCGCGAGGATGTGGGCTCCTTGGCTGACGAAGGAGAGGACGAGGGTGAGCTTCGAGCCAAAGCTCGTCTGTTGGCAGCGGGAGGCTTCAAACCCAAGCGCCTACATAATCCGAACTATTGAGTGCCCCCTCGTGTCCTCCACGGATACGGTCAAAGGGGGCGAAGTGTACGACAAGCGATTGAGACAAGCAGCCTACGGTGGCCTGCACTTCCCCGATTACAGGTGCCTGCGCCTTTGCGAGTATCTTAATGGAGAAGAGGCATCAGAGGAAGTGGTGCCTTTTCCTGCGGGGCAGCTTGCGGGGCAACACCCAGTTTCACCTGGCCCTGGCGAACTACATGCGCCCGTTCCTGTTCATGATGTGGAGTCGCTCGGTCGGAGTTCGACCTGCACAGCGCTTAGCAAGCTTCGGGTGGCTGGCGATGAGCAGCCAATCCAATCGTTCGGGGTGAGCACGGAGTTCACTGTGGTTTGCTACAATGGCAATTCCTGGGCCACGGCGCAGAGTTTCATGGAGTGGTGCGTGCTGGACCAGGTGCTGCAGGCGGACATCTTCGTGCTGAAGGAGCTGCGCATCACAGCGGGTGAGCAGATCCGTCGTGGTCAAGCCTGGGCTAGGGCTCGGGGCTATAGGCTGGAGGCGTCACCGTGTGCGATCACTGGCAGTTCAACCTTGTCGACGTCTAGCGGGGTAGGCCTGTGCACACGTGCTCACATTCCTGTTGCCGAGTACTTGCCAGCATGTACACGCCCAAAGAGCAGGCTAAAGTTCCAGCGTGCTGTTTTAGGAGATATGCAGATCCTCTTCGCGTCGGTTTACGGGGAGGTGGGGGTGGGCCTCAAGGGTAACGTGGAGCTCCTGGGAGCTCTCATTGAGGCCGTTAGGGCCTCTTGCCTGCCCTTCTGCATTGCGGGCGACTGGAACATCGAAGCTGGCCTTTTTGGAACCGACAGTTTTCTTAGGCATGGTTTCTTGAATGTGTTGCGCGCGGAGGTGGTGGGCGTTAAACAGCCCACTTGTAATAACAGCTGCATTGACTTTTTTTGCAATGAGTGATGTGTTCGTGCCCTTTGTCCGCAGCATAAGCCTTCGGCATGGCGCCCCCGTGGGGCCCCGCAAAGCGGTTGTCCTCAGGATGTCGGGGGTTGGAAGCCGCAATTACATTCGCGGGCGAATCCAGCCCGAGGCGTTTAGGCTCCCAAAGAAAGGGGAGGTTTTCGTTCCAGGGGGCATCTCGGGCTGGCCAGGTTGAAATTCTTGCAGGGGAATCCGTGGACAGTCTTGCGCGCAGGTGGTTCTCCTCTGCTGAGCTCTATCTGTGCATGTACACGGCGTTGCCTGAGTTTGAAAGGCACCGTTATTCAGGTCGCGCTGCAGGTTGCCGTCTTGAAAAAGTGCTCTTGTCTTGCGCCTGGGGAAGAAGTGTCGGGGGAAAGGCCAGACTCAGAAGTGGCTTACGCTTCGTGGAGTGACAACGCAGTGGCTTCGCGCGCAAGACTCCACGGCCCCAGACAAGGATGCAGCGATCCGCAGCGCTGTTGCACGTATGGGGGAGGTCGGTAGCGTTTGGACGGGTTCGGGGGAGGAGGAGGCTTTGTCGACTCAGGAGTCTGGGTCACCAAGCTCGCATGCCGCCTTCCTTGCCCGTCTGCAGGGTCCGGGCTCTCGTGTTGATGTTTGTGACGTGCTGCAGCGTCGTGTGAAGCATCAAGCGGGCAAGGATGCGTCGGCGGCTCGGCAGTCTTGGAGGGAGTTTTCGATGCTCGCGTTCCAAAGAGGAGGGGGTCTTGCTCGTAAATACTCTCGGGGCCCTCAGGGCAATTCCCAACCAGTGACTCGCAGCCCGTTGTGGGCCATGAGGCCTTGACGGCCATGCTGGGGGCTTGGGTCTCGCTTTGGAAGCTTCCGTCCAGGGACCTTGAGCCCTGCCCCCTCTCCTGGGACGTTTCAAACGCGGCTCCCCGTCCCGAGCTAGAGCCAGCGGCGGCGCGTGCAGTCTTAGGGTCGTTTAGGCCCAACACTGGTCTAGGCTGTGATTCTTTTCACCCGAGGTGGATCGAGAAGTCGCCAGAGACTCCCATAGCGGCGTTTATCCTGATTTTGCACCGGTGGGAAGCTGAGCCTGAGCTCACTGACATGCGGCTCATTCTCGTAGTCTTCCTCCCCAAACCTCAAGGGGGGGAAAGACCCATAGGTCTGCTGCCCCTGTTTGCTAGAATATGGTCGAGATTAAGGCACAAGCAGGTCTCCAAGTGGGAATCCAAGTTGCCCGATAGATTCTTCAGGGGAGCCTCTAGTGAGACCTCATGTGACAAGTCCGCCTGGATTCACAACACCCTTGCGGCTATGGCTCCCCAGTTAGGCCTTGTCAGTTTTAGCGCGTTTGTAGACCTCCGCAAGTTTTATGAAATGGTCAGCCACCAGGAACTTTTGCGTGCTGCCAGGGATGCAGACTTCCCCCTGGCGCTTCTGAGGCCCTTGTGCGCCTTGTACAGAGGTCCAAGGAGGGCCGTCTACCAACAATCGGTTTCGGAGGTCATTAACGCGAACGGGTCCATCATAGCAGGGTGCTCTTGCGCGACAGGGTTGGCTAAGTTGATGACGATCACCACGCTCAGGTGCATAGGGGTTAAGTGTAACCTTATCAGAATCAAGAACTTGATTGACGATATCAGTCTACACGTGATAGGAGGGCCCACCCAAGTGGCAGATCAGGCGACTACTGGTTTAACGATGCTGCTAAGAGGCATGGAGGACCGCAGGCTCCCGATTTCGTGGGACAAGTGTGGCATGCTGTGCAGCGATGAGGAAGTTTTCTGCAAAGTGAGAGCGCATGTGCGACATCTCTGGCCAGGAGATGCTCCTTGCCCTGGTCGGGATGCCTTTCATAGAGATCTAGGGGGAGATGCCATCGACGGAGGGATGAGGAGGAGAAGCACTCAGGTTTCGAGGATCTCAGAGGCTCTTCAGCGAGGGGCTCGTGTCAAAGCTCTCCAGGGACTGTGTCGTCAAAAATCAGCGGTGCATCGGGCTGGGGTCCTGGCCAACTCTCTTTGGGGCTCCAGCATCCACGGTGTGGCAAGTTCGAGGATCCAGTCCTTGCGCATGTCGTACTTGAACGTTGGCAAGTGCAAGCCAGGTGCGTCTGTGGATCTGTCGCTGCTGACGGCAGAGTGCGGCTGGCAGCAGGACCCCTTGGTCATTGCGACGGTGGGCGCGGTCCACACCTTTGCTGTCGTTGTGAATTCGCAGGCCGTCACATGGGCGGTCGTCGACAAGCTGCTCAAAGAAGCGAGGCCGTTGTTACTGGATCCACATCGCTGGGCCAAGTGCAAAAACCCGATTGCCGCTTTTCTCCTCTCGCTCCACAGGATTGGGTGGTCTTGGGAGGACGTCCACACCATCAGAGATGACGATGAGCAGCTCTGGGACTCCAGGACCACTCCGCCTGCCCTACTGAGCTCGATGGTCAAGCATGGGGTTCGGAGGCACATCGATAGGGAAGCGTTGCACAGGCTCGCAGATGGCGACTCACGAGCCCCTCAAGGCCCCATATCGTGGATACCTATGAATGAGGTCCTGCGCAGTAAGTTGCCGCCAAGGGAAAGGAGGTCTCTCAGGGGCCTGTGCTCGGGGGCTCACTGGTGCCAGTACAGGGTCTCGAAGTCCTTCAACGGGGGGCCCTCGGTGTGCTTGAGGTGCCAAGGATGCCCAGGCACTTTCTATCATAGGTTCTTTGAGTGCTACGCGTACCACTTCTTCAGGCAGGAGAGGCTCCCGAAGGAG